TTTCGCAATTTGATTGCACAATTTCGTTTGTGAATATGCTTAAATTTGAAGGCTTTGCGATTGCGCTTTATTTATGTACATATATATAAATACATATGTATGTATTTGTACAATCTTTTAGTTCAGTGCATAACTGTCAGGCAAGGTCCAGGCGGCTTTTATCTTACAAATTATGTCAGCCATTTGCGCGTTTGTTCCGCATTGGGACTTTTTTATTTACTTTTTGGTATTTTGGTATGTGTGCCTCGTCTTCGAGCCCGAATTCGACTTCGAATCTTTGGCTTTGTGTTCACCTTTGCCTGCGCTTCCTATGCGCAGCGTAACGATTGAAGCAAACGCTGCGAATGGAATCATTGGGCGTTAAAATTATTGTTACAATTAACAGCGCAGATATTACCAAATGGACTTAGCTCTAAAAAGGCGCGCAATTTGGCCCGTGTTGCTGCTTTTGTTGTTGTTGCTGCTGCTGTAGGGCGCCCAGTGTTAATAAATCAAAGCTAAGCGTCGGGCGACGCGTCGCGTCGCTGCATAAGGCAAACAACAGACAAAGCCATCAATGGGACGTCGCGACGCTGTGGCTCAGTCGACGTCGAAGAAGTAATCAAAATTGTATTACGAAAACAAACGTTTTTATAAAAATGTTGTTGCTTTGCCTCTACTTCTTCTTCTTCTTCTTCTTCTGCTGCTGCTACTTATAACAATGGCCCAAACGGTTGCCGCTGGCAGCGTGAAGTCGACGTTCAAGTCAAACTTTTTGAGTGGAGCTAAGAAAAAAAGTCAAGTCAGCATCACAGCAGCAGCAACAAAAACAACAACAACAACAGCAGCAGCAGTAGGCATGCAGTGACAGCATTCATGCTGTATATTATTTACTTTAATAGAGTCTATGCCGCTTAGTCAAAGTCTCTTGCTGTTGGGAAATGATAATGGAAATGGAATTGAAAAAGAAAATGACACGGCGCTGCGCATGCGTAAAAATTTTTGAATGACCCTTCACCTTCAGCTTAATACTTACGTTTTTTCTGTTTTGTTATTAATTGTTATCATTTTATTTAATTTAATTTTTTTTTTTTTATTTCACAAACATTTGCCTTACCTTTTGAACTCATCTTCATAAATAAAAGTAAAATTCATTAATTAAATTCGCAGCTTCATCAAGCTTTAACATTTCCGTTAAAAAAAACATGACTACATGATGTTTGCGAAATGATAAAAAAATGTATAAATGCTTGTATATAAATATAAAAATATATATAATAAATTAGTAACCAATTTCAGTGCAGTTGTTGAATGCAAGTGCTGTCAGCCCACACCAAAATTGTTTCGTAAAAAAACAACAACGAAGCTGAAAAAAAACAACGTAAATTTTTTTTTCTCTCGACCAGTTTTTGAACCAGTTGGAGCGCATCTTCTGTACGATATATCAGAGGCTATACAATTTTATTGCAAAAATATTGAAAAATGCGTTAAGACAACAACAATAACAACAACATTAACAGCAACAACAAGTTGAACAATGACAGCATAAACTTTGTTGGTCACCCTGACCTTAACACAAATTTCGTCTTAATATCAAGTGGCGACTTACTGAATGGATACGTGCACAGCCTATGGACAGGCCGGGATTGAGGCTGACACTTAAGTCAACTTCATTTTCATTGATATGTAAATAAACATAAATAAATATATATGTGTATGCACATGTATGTATTTATGTATAAATAATTTTCCATCAACTGCAGAAATGGGAATTGTTTGGTTAACAATATTTATTATTAGTACTTAATTTCTATTCCTTGACGAGTTGAGTCATACATGTTGTTTGGTTCGTTGAAATAAAACCCCAAGGCATCAGAAGTCATTAAAGCTTTGTCTTGTTAACGAATACGCTGAATTTGTGGTTATTTATATGCGTGGGTTTTTTTTTTCATTCTTATAATCGAGCGTTCCCACATAGAAAGAAAGCAAGTAAGCAATAATAAGAACTGGTCTTAAA